GCTGCAATTAATGGTATGAACAACCGTGTATGAGCGTAGCGGGTAATAAACGTAATATGTAATGGTATCTCCATAATTTGTGCTCAGCGGTAATGGTAATAATGTAATATAAAATTATATATATATAATTATTAATATATAATTTTTTTCCTTTAAATATTTTATAAAGATGGCAACATTGCAATATAAGAAACAATGAGGTAAATAATATTAACGTTGATTTTACAATTGTTCTCAATTAAATCATGTTATTTATTTTTAAAAATTTATATAAAAATATATATATTCTTAGTAACATTCAATAAAATTAAATGGATTCGTAGAATTTGCATGTTAAGCGAATAAAAGATGATTTTGTACAATATATCGCATAGGAGCGTAAAAATATATGTAGGTATACAAATACATTTAACTATAATTGGAATACCAATGTGTCCAAAGCTACTAAATTACTGTTGTCTCGTCACCCACCTAATTACGAAAGCATTAAATCTGTCAATTCCTCTGCGAACAGTGTCTAAGCTTCTAATAATCACGCTCTGTTCTTCACTGTAAATGTCGATAATCAAACAGAAGTCGTTAATGAAACGCTATCTCGTTATATAAGAAATATGAATGTGCTAACTTTGGTTTTGCTGCTGATAATTTGTGTGAATGTTTAAGCGCAGATTTCCTCTTGCTGGTCGATGGGTTTGCAGTATGTCTCTTCATTTGTATGTTATTCTTTGATGTGTTTTTACCTGTTACTCGTTTCTTCTCTTTTTGTTTGCCCTATAAAAAGTCGATGATTCGCAGCAATGTAATTTTTGATATTTTTATGTTTAATTTATATCTCCTTTCTTTTCTTTATACATATCAAACGTCTTATTGGATAGTATATTCTTCAATAAAATAAAAATTATTTAAAAAATTATTTTTTTAATATTAATTTTTAATTTCTAATTTAAAAAATATTTCATATTTATCGATAAAAAATTTGCAAATGTGCGATAATGTGTTGCTCCATAAACAATAATTAAAAATTGTTATTGGTTTGGAATTAATACAATGCGATTTTTATATTATTTAATTAATTTAATAGATTAATGATTAACTTTAACAGAACAGCACTCGCAATGCGAAGAAATTCGATGAGGCGACGTGCATTTGCAAGCTCTTAGCTCATCCAAGCTGCTACTTCGCACACAGGCACAAAGCGTCACGAAACAGCGTCTCGGTCGATTGCTTTCTCTTTTCGAAGTCTTTCTATACTGGCGACGCGTTATTTTCCTCTTTTTGTTCTTCTTCACAGGATCCGTGCTCCTCAAATTTTCGTGCGAATTTCTGCTGTGAGTACCGTGGTGCTCTGCCAAAATTCACGGGTGAACAATGCGAATCCTCTGATATGTCAAGTCTAAAGAATTTTTTTAGCATGTTTTTTTGTTACCTTTGCGACAGGTACATATTTGCTTTTTATGATTCTGGGAATTGCCGGAAACTTGTCCAAATGTGTTCGTCGTGCTGTACAAAATTCAGATAAATGCGATAAAACCGTTACTTTGACTTATTCAAGCTGGATGCGTTCAATTCTTTTAACTCCTTTATATGTATATATATAGATGAATATAAGTGATAAATGTAATCGCTTAAAATGATAACTTTTTGCTGATATTTTTGAAAACATTTTTGTATTTCATTTTGTTATTCTTACATTTTTTTTATCTTTAATATTAATATTGTCTAACGATATTAGATAAAGTATTAATATACCAAGATATTAAGCTTCTAATATCGTGTGCTATTATTTTAATGTAGAAAGGAATCTGGTTGAGTCAGTAAGCTGATAGGAAGAAAGGATTTTCAGGAATGCGGGGAAAGCAAGATTGAAATTATTTCACGTAAAGAAGGAAGACTTTGAAACATTATTGAATATTGAATTTATCATCCTACGTCTCACCGTAACTTCTGTAAATATGTCGAAGTTGAACTTTTAGAGGACTGCGAGGCTTGGCGTTTTTTGCTAAAAGAAATTTTAAGTTAATGAAATTTATATAAATAAAATTAAAATAAAAATAGATAAAATTTTAATTTTAATTTATAAATAAAATTTTACTGAAAGAATTTGATCTACATTTATTGTATTAATATCTAAAATGTATAAATATTTATCGAAAGGTATAAGATAGCTAAAATTTCATAATTTATCACATAATTTATCACATAATTAATTTTTCTAAAATATTTTTTAGACAAATTAATAATACAAGGCATAAATTATTTAATACTTTTTGTGATCTCTCGGTTTGTTAAACGATAAATTCTTTAGATTGTCTTTGGATCGCTTTGACTTCAGCTTCTGTGCTGCTTTATTTCGCGACTTAGAATTGTCTGAAGAACTTCGATGTGACGTTGATGGCGGTCTCGGATTTTTCTCTTTGTTCTTGTATTTACGGCTGCTATCAGCGGTAAAGAAAATACTTTCCAGGTATGTGCACAGCGCGAAGTTAAACTATGTACACGCCACAACCTTATCGTAAACCACTACATTTCATGGAGATCCTGCTTGGTGACGCGGTATTTCTTAAAGAATTCGATTGCAACTGTCGGCTTTTTCACGAAATGACTAGGATCCTCATGAGATGCTGCGATTTGTGACAAGCTTACGAGAGAGACATTTTCTCTCGCAGAGATGACTAATCCATACAATCATTTGAGTCAAACTTAATATACGGACACATTCATACGCATTTATGTATCATAGATACATTTTTGTATGTTTGCAATAGTGCAATAAACATTTGAGAAAAAATAAAGACAAGATGTAGTCCATTTTAAGAATAATGAGACGCATTAAAAAAAGAATGAACAGATTTATATACATGTTTGATACAGATGAAACAGAATAACAAAAATAAAATTGGACATTTCGAACGCATTATTACATAATTATAATTTATTGTATTATTATTCGCGCAACTTATATATAATTTCTTACGTCAATCTCTTTTCATGTCCAATGCATTTTGGATTGGGACATTGTGACGGCATTTCCGATTCATCGGATCAAAATTTGCATGCTTCGTAATTGACCTGTGATTTTAAAAAATGCTAAGATAAATAAAATTTCATGACTACATACATTGTATAAATTATATTATATATTACCAGCACAATACTGCATATTTTTCAAGCATTTTTTTCTTGTTAGGAAAAATTGATCAAATATAATAACCTTTTTATTTTTGTTTCAGTTACGAGTGTCATACACATTTTACAGTTTTTTTTTTTCCATTACAAACAATCGAGAGCAATCGAGAGAAATTTATTCGATTTTTGTATCAAATTAAATTTTAATCTAAATACATAATACAGATGACATTTTCCATCGCATCTTTGCGTCTAACTTCAATTAAAGGATGTCAAAAATTGAATGAAAAACTTTTATCAAATCATAATTCATTTCTGTTTCTATGTTTTCATAATTTTATATATCTCACATGTTTCTCATTATGACAAAAATTTCTTATCACGATTATATAAATCTGGTATTAATAATTTGCAATATTCTTATTTCTGAAATCTTTCTCATCAGATACGTAAAACTTTAAGAGAGAATGACGCTGCTTTGGTTTTATAGAAAAGTTCGCGGTTACGCTCGCGATGCGTGTCAAACAATATCCTCGCCCGCGCGTTGCAACTGACATTATTGATGCCAGACTGGCGGCCGTTAGTCCGCGGCCTTGCCATCGGCGATTTATTTACCGGTTTGAATATTTTACCGAGCCATTTCTTTCCAGCATCAATTGCGTCCATTCCGGCTAACGCGAGCGTTAATTTTTTCATTTTTTTTTAAGCTCCCACATACCACGTTATTGTCCTTTCCCCAAGTTTTTTTTTTCTAAGAAACAAAAGTTTAAATATGTATACATTTATATATTTTAATATCACAATAAAAATGAATATTACAAAAGTTTTTAAAAATACACAAAGAAATTTTTTTTAGAATTTTCTATATATTTTTGGGAATTTCTGTATAATTTGATAACTTTTTCAAACATTTCTTAAATTTTTTTGTATAAATTGAAATGTTTCAGAAATGCTGAAAAAATCTACATTTTTTTATAATTCTTTATATATGAATTCTAAGAAATATTGTAAAATTGTTTATTAATAATTCCTGGAGAAAATTAATAAAATTTAAAGATGTTTAAAGTATTTTTCAAATATCTTTATAAATTTAGAGTATAAAAAATTCTTAAAAAAAATTATTAAGTATAAAAAATTTATTCCAATTTAATCAGTGCATAAATATAATAACAGAACAAAGCAAGTGTAAAATATTTGATCTACGACAATAGGCTGATGCAC